TTCCCTCAGTAACTAACCTTCAGTATTTTCTTCCCTCAGTAACTAACCTTCAGTATTTTCTTCCCTCAGTAACTAACCTTCAGTATTTTCTTCCCTCAGTAACTAACTTTCAGTATTTTCTTCCCTCAGTAACTAACCTTCAGTATTTTCTTGGCACAGTCAAAGTCAGTCATGTTGGTACCCATGGGGTAATCTCCCATAAACTGCATGATGGCTGGGGAACACAACACAGCAAAGTAGTCTCATCATCATCATCATCATCTGACACAACACAGCAAAGTATGTCATCATCATCATCATCATCATCTGACACAACACAGCAAAGTAGAGTCATCATCATCATCATCATCTGACAGTCTAGGATCAGAAGTGTTAATAGATGACAAGAAAAATAGACACATTAAATGAATAAATAATTCAATAAATAACTAAATAAATTCCATACATTTTTTTTTTCAATACAAAAATGAATGAATGAATGAATGAATGAATGAATGAATGAATGAATACAGGAGTTCAAGAATGAAGAAAGGAATAAATAAATACCTAAGGCAGCATGGATGACAAGAACAGAAAACATTCAAATATATATACAATTACTTTTCTATTCCAGGCAATCATCATACAAGCCAAAAGACAAAATATTTAGCCATCTTGATACAGTAACAACATTTACGCACTTGTGTTGTTTTTGTTTATTTATAAAAAGGGAGACCCAAAAATCTCTACCAGCTTTCCGCTATAGCAAATCCAGGAGACAAACGTTTTGGAACGTCACACAGGTACACTCTACATAAAATAGTAGTTTTACTATTTTTATTGCACTTGCAACACAATTAGGTCACAAAAGTGCTGAAGATGAGATGTGTTACGAGAGAGTACCAAACACAAAAAAGGAGCAGAGATAAGGACGATAGATGTTTGACGGGAAAGAAAGAGCAAGCCACACCAGAGCACCCGCCAACCAGCCACGCTCTGCATAAAGTTGTTTTTTTAAAATAGAGGGTTTTACAGCGCTCGCAACTGCATAAGGTCATATGAGCGCCAAGGGGTGGGTGTCAACAGTGAAGTCTTTACAGGGAATCAGACTTAGACTGCTCACCTCTCTAGCTTCAACAGCACAAGGTCTGCTTCGATAGCAGGTCACAAGAGAGAGACAAACATACAAAAGAAGTAGAGGAAAATGACAATAGAAAGGATCAGGAAAGAAAAAGCAGCAGTTCCCTGTTGTAGATCAGGCACAGTTATGAGCGTGACATGAATCAGCCCTTTTACAATTCTACTATGCTTAAACGAGAAATGTCCCCCCTTTGGGAATGGCCTAGAGACACTACCGTCAGTGGCACTACCCCAGAGAGGTGTCTGCATAAAGGTTCAGTGGAGTAGAACGTGGATACGAGAGAAGGGAAATGGTACGAGAAATCCACAACTTGCTGCAGATTGCAGTGTCTTCCCCTGTCCGGAGCAAAAACTCACCAATGAAACATTCCAGGGCAAGCTTGTTGAGTTCTGGAGTGTTGAGCTTGAGAAGCGACGCTTGGATTGGGGACTGTACAGAACACAAATCATTTCATTAACGACAAGCATTTCAAGGTGGTCTATGATTCAAAGAGTGTATTAAAAATTTCCACAGAAAAAAATGTGTTTTACACCTCCATTAACACAATTTAGATCATTTAGGAAGAGGGCTCCCAACCCTGCCTGTCAGGGCCATCCTGGGCAGAGACGGATACAACATCCTAGCAGAAAGATGAAATACTCCATAAAATCGGGAATCAAACTCAGGTCTTCTACATAATAGAAAGCATTTGTATAGCGCATATCCCCGCTCAACAGCAGGCTCTATGAGTTTTACACTATATTGCATATAATGTCGAAGCGCTTACACCACAGAGGCCACTAAATGGTCAATTGTAATACACAGTAACAAGTTGACCGAATCTGAAAAGAGAGGGAAAAGGTATACCCATCACCCTCCTGGCTGTACTGTTGGCTGACACAACTATCTGTGACAAGGTCGAGATAAACCTTTACTGATCTTTTACAAACAGGGATGTATCTTGCTTATGTACAACAGCAAAGAAAAGTTCTCATAAACAGACTCTCTCTCACATTCTCTGCAAACACTAATTCAAACACACAAACAAAACTCACATAAAAGAATGCTCTACGCCCCGCCCCCCCACCCCTCTCTCTCTTTCTCTTGTTCTCCCTCCCTCCTTCTACGCACAAACTCCCAGATACCTGTACACATACAAACACACACACACACACACAC